CGGGCGCCCGTCGAGCTGCCGCGTCCGTGTACCCCGGCCTCGTCACTGCTGCCACAAACTTGGGCCCGCGCCGCCCAGGCACCGTTCCGGGGGAAAACAAGGTAAGGAGCGCGAAGCGCAGCTGCGGCCGGCTCCCCCCTCGCGCCGGGCTATTTGCAGCCTTGCGCTTCCCGGCTAAATCGGGAAGCGAAAGTTGGAGCCCAGCGCCGCTGGGAGCAACTTTGCTGGCTCGGTGGCGGCTGCCTGTGCTCTACGCCGCGCCACCCTCTGACCCTCCTCGCTGGTCGCGCCCTCCCAGTGTTCGCTGTCCTTGGAGGCTGCCCTTCCCCCGGGTCTGTGCGCCGCGGCCACAGACCCTCAGGGGTCAGCTTCCGCAACTCGGTTGTGGCAGCGCCGGCGACACCGGGCGGTCGGGCCCCACCAGGTACCCGCTCCCGCGCTCAGCCGGGTGCAAGCCCCCTTGTGAGCGCGGCTTCTTTCTCCTCTCCGCGCTGGGTTACCGGGGCTCCTGGCCCTCGAGCCCACCACGGCTCCTCCTCGGCCCCGTGTGGCCGCGGGTTCCCGCGCGGAGATTGTGCGTCCCGGAGCGCACGGGTGTCGCCCACCTGGGCCCCACGCCGGGAGTGCGAGGTGGAGCGCAGCGCCTGGTGGGACCGGCAACCCAGCGCTCACTCCTCAGTCCCCACGGCCTAAGAGCGCCTGGTCAAGAACAGTTGACACTGAGCCTCATATGAGGAGCCAGGTGAGCTGTGCCCCTGGGGAGCGCAGATGGCCAGGGACCCGTGGTCCTCACCACCCACCCGCATTCTTGTTTCCGAGGCTCTGGGAAACGGGTTGTTGGCCAGACTAGTCCCAGAAACTGCCTGCTTTGAAATATGACTAAGTGCTTAAAGACTCAGCAACGGAGTGCTGTTTGCCATTCTGAAGATGTGCAAAGGTTCAGTTATAATTACAGAATGAATTGAGTAAGCCTACTAGCATACCTTTTGCTCATTGTTGTTTCTTTTTCATTTTTGTAGTTTGCTGAAGGTTTAATAAGTTAGTTTCACCATTTAGCCACTTAGCCCTGCAAACACCTATTTGAAAAACAGTACTACAGAACAGGTAGTTTAAGGAGTTAGACTCCGAGTAACTAATGGGGGAAAGATAATTTCTCTTGATTTAGTCCAAATTAATCTGAAAGTTTACCAGTTTATCAGTCTAACCTTCTTTCTTAGACCACTCTCTGTATAAAGACAGTTTAGTGTAAGCCACTCCAGTCCGTTATAGTGATTGAAGTAAGCTGAAACCCATAAGATCCAATTAATACTTACTGACAAGAGACAACCAGCATTTCACAGTAGAGTTACTACATATGCATTTAATAAAGTGTGAGTCATCTTAAAATATGTTTTAGAACGATCCCACTGTTTTAAAATTCATGTCACTATTTCCCTGGTCAGTAGTTCGTAGTTTCCCTATGATTTTTCTTGGGCAGAATTTGGTACTTTCCGTGCCACTTTAAGAACTTTTAAGAGCCTAAAATTAAGCTACAGTGGATTAATTGGCAGTACAAGTATAACAGGCTGAATATGATGGGGGATATGCATTAATTAAGTTTATTACATAAACGTGCATTAGAATCATAGGCTCT